ACACTGTCCCAAGTCTAGAGGAATACGAACTTCAGCACAGCAACTCGAGGAATGCTCCGTGTACCCCAAATCGTTTCGAGGTGAGAGCTGATTCCATGGCTTAGGCTCAAGGCGTATGCCAACTTTCCAGAAGCACCTCAAGAGGAGGCTTCTCTCAGCAATAGGTATTTGGGAGGGACCCCGAGTTTGCTGCCTCAAGTGGAATATACAGCGAGAAGCCCTAACTTGAAAGGAGGCCGGATTTCCTTGCAGTGGCTTGGATACAGGCTCGTCTTTCATCTCACAACATGAAGGGATGTCTGAATCCCCTGTGGAGACCTTAAAGAAAGCTCTAGGTCCCTGCCTCATTTTGACGGAATGCCTCAAATCCAGTTGACACTTCGAGAGGCACGCGGAGTTTACTGCTTCAAAAGGTGATGATGCCTCACTCGTCTTGAATATTGATAGGAATCCCAAAATCACTGTGGCTACTGGAAAGGGTCATTGGGTGCCCTGCCTCACCTCGAGAAGCATACCTTTTGACCTGCCAAGCCTCGAAGAGATTCCGGAGGTGTCTCTCGTTACTAGACAGGAGTCCTGACGTCACTGAATAAACACGTGTTTTGAAGGGCCATCCCTCCCATAACTCGAGAACATACCCCAGTTCCCGCCGCAAATCGAGTAAAACCATGAGACTTCTCCTAGATGCGAGATGAGGCCTGATTCCCTGAAGTCCAGGCAGAGCATTCCCGTGATCCCCATCAAGCAAGTCAGGAGCTTCGACTTGCTTAATTGAAATCGAGAAAGTCCCCAGGAACACTGTCACAAGTCTAGACAGACCCTGAGGTCACCCAGCAATGCAAAGCAGCTGCAAGTACCCCATATCAGCTCGATGAGGCCCGATTCCCATGCATTGACTCCAGAGCCATCCCCCGTAACCCACTAAACACCACCAGTGGCTTGACTTCCTTCAGGCAACTCCAGAAATGCCCCGAGAACACTGTCCCAAGACTAGAGGAACACCAACTTCAGCACAGCAATTGGAGTAATGCTCCGTGTACCACAAATCGTCTCGAGATGAGAGCTGAATCCCTGGCTTAGGCTCAAGACGTATGCCAACTTTCCAGAAGCACCTCAAGAGGAGGCTTCTCTCAGCAATAGGTATGTTGGAGGGACCACGAGTTTGCTGCCTCAAGTGGAATATACAGCGAGAAGCCCTAACTTGAAAGGAGGCCGGATTTCCTTGCAGTGGCTTGAATACAGGCTCGTCTTTCATCTCACAGCATGAAGGGATGTCTGAATCCCCTGTGGAGACCTTAGAGAAAGCTCTAGATCCCTGCCTCATTTTGACGGAATGCCATACATCCCGTTGTCACCTTGAGAGGTACGCGGAGTTCACTGCTTCAAAAGGTGACGATGCCTGACTCCTCTAAAATACTGATAGGAATCCCAAAATCCCTGTGGCTTCTGGAAAGGGTCCTTGGGTGCCCTGCCTCACCTCGAGAAGCATACCTTTTGACCTGCCAAGCCTCGAAGAGATTCCTGAGGTGTCCCTCGTTACTAGACAGGAGTCCTGATGGCACTGAATAAACACGTGTTTTGAGGGGTCATCCCCGCCAAAACTCGAGAAGATACCCCAGGTCCCCAGCGCAACTTGAGAGAAACCATGAGACTTCCCCCTATATGCGAGATGAGTCCTGATTCCCTGCAGTGCATGCAGAGTATTCCCGTGATCCCCATCAAACAAGTCAGGAGCTTCGACTTGCTTAATGGATCTCGAGACAGTCCCCAAGAACACTGTCACAAGTCGAGAAGGACCCTGAGGTTACCCCAGCAACGCAAAGCAGCTCCAAGTGCCCCAAATCAACCCGAGATATGGCCCGATTCCCCTGCATTGACTCCAGAGCCATCCCCAGTTCCCCATTAAACAAGGCCACTGGCTTGACATCCTTCAGGCAACTCCAGAGATGCCCTGAGAACACTGTCCCAAGACTAGAGGAACACCAACTTCAGCACAGCAACTCGAGTAATGCTCCGTGTACCACAAATCGTCTCGAGATGAGAGCTGATTCCCTGGCTTAGGCTCAAGACGTATGCCAACTTTCCAGAAGCACCTCAAGAGGAGGCTTCTCTCAGCAATACGTATGTTGGAGGGACCCCGAGTTTGCTGCCTCAAGTGGAATATACAGCGAGAAGCCCTAACTTGAAAGGATGCCGGATTTCCTTGCAGTGTCTTGAATACAGGCTCGTCTTTCATCTCACAACTGGAAGGGATGACTGAATCCCCTGTGGAGACCTTAGAGAAAGCCCTAGGTCCCTGCCTCATTTTGACGGAATGCCTCACAACCCGTTGACACATCGAGAGGCACACGGAGTTTACTGCTTCAAAATGTGACGATGCTGACTCCTCCTGAACATTGATAGGAATCCCAAAATCACTTTGGCTACAGGAAAGGGTTCTTGGGTGCCCTGCCTCACCTCGAGAAGCGTCCCTTTTGCCCTGCCAAGCCTCGAAGAGATTCCTGAGGTGTCTCTCGTTACTAGACAGGAGTCCTGACGTCACTGAATAAACACGTGTTTTGAAGGGCCATCCCCGCCGTAACTCGAGAACATACCCCAGGTCCCGCCGCAACTCGAGCAAAACGATGAGAATTCCCCTAGATGCGAGATGATGTCTGATTCCCTGCAGTCCATGCAGAGCAGTGCCGTGATACCCATCAAGCAAGTCAGGAGCGTCGACTTGCTTAATGGATCTCGAGAGAGTCCCCAGGAACACTGTCACCAGTCTAGACAGACAATGAGGTCACCCCAGCAATGCAAAGAAGTTCCAAGTGCCCGACATCAACTCGAGATGAGGCCCGATTCTCCGGCATTGACTCCAGAGCCATCCCCCTTACCACATTAAACACCACCAGTGGCTTGACTTCCTTCAGGCTACTCCAGAGATGCCCTGAGAACACTGTCCCAAGTCTAGAGGAATACGAACTTCAGCACAGGAACTCGAGGAATGCTCCGTGTACCCCAAATCGTTTCGAGGTGAGAGCTGATTCCATGGCTTAGGCTCAAGACGTATGCCAACTTTCCAGAAGCACCTCAAGAGGAGGCTTCTCTCAGCAATAGGTATGTGGGAGGGACCCCGAGTTTGCTGCCTCAAGTGGAATATACAGCGAGAAGCCCTAACTTGAAAGGAGGACAGATTTCCTTGCAGTGGCTTGAATACAGGCTCGTCTTTCATCTCACAGCATGAAGGGATGTCTGAATCCCTGTGGAGACCTTAGAGAAAGCTCTAGGTCCCTGCCTCATTTTGAGGGAATGCCTCACATCCCGTTGTCACTTCGAGAGTGACGCGGAGTTCACTGCTTCAAAAGGTGACGATGCCTGACTCCTCTTGAATATTGATAGGAATCCCAAAATCACTGTGGCTACTAGAAAGGGTCCTTCAGTGCCCTGCCTCACCTCGAGAAGCATACCTTTTGACCTGCCAAGCCTCGAAGAGATTCCTGAGGTTTCCCTCGTTACTAGACAGGAGTCCTGACGGTACTGAATAAACACGTGTTTTGAAGGGCCATCCCCGACGTAACTCGAGAAGATACCCCAGGTCCCCAGCGCAACTTGAGAGAAACCATGAGACTTCCCCCAAGATGCGAGATGAGTCCTGATTCCCTGCAGTGCATGCAGGGTGTTCCCCTGATCCCCATCAACAAGTCAGGAGCTTCGACTTGCTTAATGGATCTCGAGACAGTCCCCAAGAACACTGTCACAAGTCTAGACGGACCCTGAGGTCACCCCAGCAAAGCAAAGCAGCTCCATGTGCCCCAAATCAACCCGAGATGTGGCCCGATTCCCCTGCATTGACTACAGAGCCATCCCCAGTTCCCCATTAAACAAGAACACTGGCTTGACTTCCTTCAGGCAACTCCAAAGATGCCCCGAGAACACTGTCCCAAGACTAGAGGAACACCAACTTCAGCACAGCAACTCGAGGAATGCTCCGTGTACCACAAATCGTCTCGAGATGAGAGCTGAATCCCTGGCTTAGGCTCAAGACGTATGCCAACTTTCCAGAAGCACCTCAAGAGGAGGCTTCTCTCATCAATAGGTATGTTCGTGGGACCCCGAGTTTGCTGCTTCAAGTGGAATGTACAGCGAGAAGCCCTAACTTGAAAGGAGGCCGGATTTCCTTGCAGTGGCTTGAATACAGGCTCGTCTTTCATCTCACAGCATGAAGGGATGTCTGAATCCCCTGTGGAGACGTTAGAGAAAGCTCTAGGTCCCTGCCTCTTTATGACGGAATGCCTCACATCCCGCTGTCACCTCGAGAGGCACGCGGAGTTCACTGCTTCAAAATTTGACGATGCTTGACTCCTCTTGAATATTGATAGGAATCCCAAAATCCCTGTGGCTATTGGAAAGGTTCCTTGGGTGCCCTGCCTCAACTCCAGAAGCGTCCCTTGTGCACTGCCAAGCCTCGAAAAGATTCCTGAGCTGTCCCTCGTTACTGGACAGGAGTCCTGACGTCACTGAATAAACACGAGTTTTGAAGGGCCATCCCTGCCGTAACCCGAGTACATACCCGAGGTCCCCGCCGCAAGTCGAGATAAAGCATGAGACTTTCCCCTAGAGGCGAGATGAGACCCGATTCTCCTGCAGTGCATGCAGAGCAATTCCATGATCCCCATCAAACAAGTCAGGACCTTCGACTTGCTTAATGGATCTCGAGACAGTCCCCAAGAATACTGTCACATGTCTAGACGGATCCTGAGGTCACCCCATCAACGCAAAGCAGCACAATGTGCCCCAAATCAACTCGGGATGATGGCAGATCCCCCTTCATTGACTCCAGAGCCATCCCCCGTTCCCCATTAAACACGACCAGTGGCTTGACTTCCTTCAGGCAACTCCAGAGATGCCCCGAGAACACTGTCCCAAGTCTAGAGGAACACGAACTTCAGCACAGCAAATCGAGGAATGCTCCGTGTACCCCAAATCGTCTCGAGATGAGAGCTGATTCCCTGGCTTAGGTTCAAGACGTATGCCAACTTTCCAGAAGCACCTCAAGCGGAGGATTCTCTCAGCAATAGGTATGTTGGAGGGACCCCCACTTTGCTGCCTCAAGTGGAATATACAGCGAGAAGCCCTAACTTGAAAGGAGGCCGGATTTCCTTGCAGTGTCTTGAATACAGGCTCGTCTTTCATCTCACAACCGGAAGGGATGTCTGAATCCCCTGTGGAGACCTTAGAGAAAGCCCTAGGTCCCTGCCTCATTTTGACCGATTGCCTCACATCCCGTTGACACCTCGAGAGGCACGCGGAGTTCACTGCTTCAAAAGGTGATGATGCCTGACTCCTCTTGAATATTGATAGGAATCCCAAAATCCCTGTGGCTATTTGAAAGGTTCCTTGGGTGCCCTGCCTCACCTCGAGAAGCGTCCCATGTGCCTGCCAAGCCTCGAAGAGATTCCTGAGCTGTCCCTCGTTACTGGACAGGAGTCCTGACGTCACTGAATAAACACGAGTTTTTAAGGTCCATCCCCGCCGTAACCCGAGTACATACCCCAGGTCCCCGCCGCAAGTCGAGAAAAACCATGAGATTTTCCCCTAGTGGCGAGAAGAGGCCCGATTCTCCTGCAGTGCATGCAGAGCAGTTCCGTGATCCCCATCAAACAAGTCAGGACCTTCGACTTGCTTAATGGATCTCGAGACAGTCCCCAAGAATACTGTCACATGTCTAGACGGATCCTGAGGTCAGCCCATCAACGCAAAGCAGCACCATGTGCCCCACATCAACTCGAGATAATGACCGATTCCCCTGCATTGACCCAAGAGCCATCCCCCGTTCCACATTAAACACGACCAGTGGCTTGACTTCCTTCAGAAACTCCAGAGATGACCTGAGAACACTGTCCCAAGTCTAGAGGAACACCATCTTCAGCACAGCAACTCGAGGAATGCTCCGTGTACCCCAAATCATCTCGAGATGAGAGCTGATTCCCTGGCTTAGGCTCAAGACGTATGCCAACTTTCCAGAAGCACCTCAAGGGGAGGCTTCTCTCAGCAATAGGTATGTTGGAGGGGCCCCCAGTTTGCTGCCTCAAGTGGAATATGCAGCGAGAAGCCCTAACTTGAAAGGAGGCCGGGTTTCCTTGCCGTATCTTGAATACAGGCTCGTCTTTCATCTCACAACCGGAAGGAATGTCTGAATCCCCTGTGGAGACCTTAGCGAAAGCCCTTGGTCCCTGCCTCATTTTGACGGATTGCCTCACATCTCGTTGACACCTCGAGAGGCACACGGAGTTCACTGCTTCAAATGTGACGATGCCTGACTCCTCCTGAACATTGATAGGAATCAAAAAATCACTGTGGCTACAGGAAAGGGTTCTTGTGTGCCCTGCCTCACCTCGAGAAGCATCCCTTTTGCCCTGCCAAGGCTCGAAGAGATTCCTGAGGTGTCCCTCATTACTAGACAGGAGTCATGACGTCACTGAATAAACACGTGTTTTCAAGGGCCATGCCCGCCATAACTCGAGAACATACCCCACGTACCCCCGCGACTCGAGAAAAACCATGAGACTTCCCCTAGATGCGATATGAGGCCTGATTCCCTGCAGTCCATGCAGAGCATTCCCGTGATCGCAATCAAGCAAGTCAGCAGCTTCGAATTGCTTAATGGATCTCGAGAGAGTCCCCAGGAACACTGTCACAAGTCTAGACAGACCCTGACATCACCCCAGCAAAGCAAAGCAGGTCCAAGTACCCCACATCAACTCGAGTTGAGGCCCGATTCCCATGCATTGACTCCAGAGCCATCGCCCGTACCCCATTAAACACCACCAGTGGCTTGACTTCCTTCAGGCAACTCCAGAGATGCCCCGAGAACAATGTCCCAAGTCTAGAGGAATACGAACTTCAGCACAGCAACTCGAGGAATGTTCCGTGTACCCCAAATCGTTTCGAGGTGAGAGCTGATTCCATGGCTTAGGCTCAAGACGTATGCCAACTTTCCAGAAGCCCCTCAAGAGGAGGCTTCTCTCAGCAATAGGTATGTGGGAGGGACCCCAAGTTTGCTGCCTCAAGTGGAATATACAGCGAGAAGCCCTAACTTGAAAGGAGGCCGGATTTCCTTGCAGTGGCTTGAATACAGGCTCGTCTTTCATCTCACAGCATGAAGGGATGTCTGAATCCCCTGTGGAGACCTTAGAGAAAGCTCTAGGTCCCTGCCTCATTTTGACGGAATGCCTCACATCCCGTTGATACTTCGAGAGTCACGCGGAATTCACTGCTTCAAAAGGTGATGATGCCTCACTCGTCTTGAATATTGATAGGAATCCCAAAATCACTGTGGCTACAGGAAAGGATTCTTGCGTGCCCTGCCTCACCTCGAGAAGCATCCATTTTGCCTTGCCAAGCCCCGAAGAGATTCCTGAGGTGTCCCTCGTTACTAGACAGGATCCCTGACGTCACTGAATAAACACGTGTTTTGAAGGCCCATCCCCGCCATAAGTCGAGAACATACCCCAGGTCCGGCCGCAACTGGAGCAAAACGTTGAGACTTCCCCTAGATGCGAGATGAGGTCTGATTCCCTGCAGTCCATGCAGAGCAGTCCCGTGATCCCCATCAAGCAAGTCAGGAGCTTCGACTTGATTAATGGATCTCCAGAGAGTCCCCAGGAACACTGTCACAAGTCTAGACAGACCCTGAGGTCACCCCAGCAATGCAAAGCAGCTCCAAGTGCCCCACATCAACTCGAGATGAGGCCCGATTCTCCGGCATTGACTCCAGAGCCATCCCACGTACCCCATTAAGCACCACCAGAGGCTTGACTTCCTTCAGGCAACTCCAGAGATGGCCCGAGAACACTGTCCCAAGTCTAGAGGAATACGAACTTCAGCAAAGCAACTCGAGGAATGGTCCGTATACCACAAATCGTTTCGAGGTGAGAGCTGATTCCATGGCTTAGGCTCAAGACGTATGCCAACTTTCCAGAAGCACCTCAAGAGGAGGCTTATCTCAGCAATATGTATTTGGGAGGGACCCCGAGTTTGCTGCCTCAAGTGGAATATACAGCGAGAAGCCCTAACTTGAAACGAGGCCGGATTTCCTTGCAGTGGCTTGAATACAGGCTCGTCTTTCATCTCACAGCATGAAGGGATGTCTGAATCCCCTGTGGAGACCTTAGAGAAAGCTCTAGGTCCCTGCCTCATTTTGACGGAATGCCTCACATCCCGTTTACACTTCGAGAGGCACGCGGAGTTCACTGCTTCAAAAGTTGATGATGCCTCACTCGTCTTGAATATTGATAGGAATCCCAAAATCACTGTGGCTACAGGAAAGGATTCTTGTGTGCCCTGCCTCACCTCGAGAAGCATCCATTTTGCCCTGCCAAGCCTCGAAGAGATTCCTGAGGTGTCCCTCGTTACTAGGCAGGAGTCCTGTCGGCACTGAATAAACACGTGTTTTCAAGGGCCATCGCCGCCGTAACTCGAGAAGATACCCCAGGTCCCCCGCGCAAATTGAGAGAAACCATGAGACTTCTCGTTAGATGCGAGATGAGTCCTGATTCCCTACAGTGCATGCAGAGTATTCCCGTGATCCCCATCAAACAAGTCAGGAGCTTCGACTTGCTTAATGGATCTCGAGACAGTCCCCAAGAACACTGTCACATGTCTAGACGGACCCTGAGGTATCCCCAGCAACGCAAAGCAGCTCCATGTGCCCCAAATCAACTTGAGATGAGGTCCGATTCCCCTGTATTGACTCCAGAGCCATCTCCCGTTCCGCATTAAACACCACCAGTGGCTTGACCTCCTTCAGACAACTCCAGAGATGCCCCGAGAACACTGTCCCTAGTCTAGAGGAACACCTACTTTAGCACAGCAACTCGAGGAATGCTTCCTGTATGCCAAATCTTCTCGAGATGAGAGCTGATTCCCTGGCTTAGGCTCAAGACGTATGCCAACTTTCCAGAAGCACCTCAAGAGGAGGCTTCTCTCAGCAATAGGTATGTTGGAGGGACCTCCACTTTGCTGCCTCAAGTGGAATATACAGCGAGAAGCCCTAACTTGAAAGGAGGCCGGATTTCCTTGCAGTGTCTTGAATACAGGCTCGTCTTTCATCTCACAACAGGAAGGGATGTCTGAATCCACTGTGGAGACCGTAGAGAAAGCCCTAGGTCCCTGCCTGATTTTGACGGAATGTCTCACATCCCTTTGACACCTCGAGAGGCACACGGAGTTCACTGCTTCAAAATGTGACGATGCCTGACTCCTCCTGAACATTGATAGGAATCCCAAAATCACTGTGGCTACAGGACAGGGTTCTTGGGTGCCCTGCCTCACCTCGAGAAGCATCCCTTTTGTCCTGCCAAGCCTCGAAGAGATTCCTGAGGTGTCTCTCGTTACTAGACAGGAGTCCTGACGTCACTGAATAAACACGTGTTTTGAAGGGCCATCCCCGCCGTAACTCGAGAACATACCCCAGTTCGCGCCGCAACTCGAGTAAAACCATGAGACTTCCCCTAGATGCGAGATGAGGCCTGATTCCTGCAGTCCATGAAGAGCATTCCCGTGATCCCCATCATGCAAGTCAGGAGCTTCGACTTGCTTAATTGAACTCGAGAAAGTCCCCAGGAACACTGTCACAAGTCTAGACAGACCCTGAGGTCACCCAAGCAATGCAAAGCAGCTGCAAGTACCCCACATCAACTTGAGATGAGGCCCGATTCCCATGCATTGACTCCAGAGCCATCCCCCGTACCCCATTAAACACCACCATTGGCTTGACTTCCTTCCGGCAACTCTAGAGGTGCTTCGAGAACACTGTCCCAAGTCTAGAGGAATACGAACTTCAGCACAGCAACTCGAGGAATGCTCCGTGTACCCCAAATCGTTTCGAGGTGAGAGCTGATTCCATGGCTTAGGCTCAAGACGTATGCCAACTTTCCAGAAGCACCTCAAGAGGAGGCTTCTCTCAGCAATAGGTATGTGGGAGGGACCCCGAGTTTGCTGCCTCAAGTGGAATATACAGCGAGAAGCCCTAACTTGAAAGGAGTTCGGATTTCCTTGCAGTGGCTTGAATACAGGC